TGTTTGTGGAAAAACATCATTCTAAGCCTGTTTTCTTATTTGCAAAATGAGGTTATTACTTGCCCACTGCAGAGGATTTTTAAAAGATTAGAAGACATGTTTCTACAGTTCGAAGCATGTCTGGCATCTGATAGATAATATCGAACTGATCCATTGTTGAAATTGCTGCTGCTCTAAATTAAAAGCTCAGATACAGCAAGTGAGATGACCAAATTTGAATGTTTACTACCCAGGAAAAGCAGGACTAAGAATAATCACCCTTTAGTGCTTTAGAATGGGAGCGCAGTGCATAAAGGAAAGAGATTTGAGGTGGGAAGCCAAAGCCCCGCTTTCATGATTCCTTCCCACCATTTATGTACTGAGTAACCATGGGCAAGTCACTTTACCTCTACTGGCCTCAACTATTACATCTTAAATGGGGGTAACAGTACTGTTTTTTTTTTTACTAGATTTGTCATGTGATATTTTGAGAAAGTATTACAAAGATAAGTGGCCCTAGTAGTTTTATGTCTATCTTTTGCTTCATACATATAAAAGAAACACAACACAATTAAGGCGAAGTATCTAAATTTCAATTCCTTGCATAATTATTGTGTCAAGAGAAAAAAGTTATTTCTATTACTCCACAAACATGAGAAATACCTTGCCACATTAAACAAGCATAAAATGTTAAAGATATATCTAGTAGTATATGTTATGTCAAGGGTTACAACTTATGACCAAGATGGAAGAAAAGAGATGGCTGTAAACTTCTATATTTAGAACTAACTACTACCAATCCTGTCAACTGCTGGAATATTGACACTAGTACAATATGACAGAATTATGAATAATATCTTCTGAATAGCCAGGCTCCAAGTTTCATGGGAAAAAATTTCTCAGACCATATCAAATACATTTCATTTCATTATATGATAGATCATATGATTTAAACAGTCACTTTTAGCCTAAAAGAGTTAGTAGAATTTCTAAGTTGTGACCAAAGAATAATCCAGGCTCAAAGACAAGCTTTTTCATTAATAATGAGCATCTTCCCTTTTCCAACTGAAAATGTCAAAGGACTATGCTGATATTATTTTCCACATAGTCTGAGCATCACAGTATTTCAAAGAAGACTGCTTCAAAGCCAGACTCCCAGCCTGGAAATCTTCACACCACCTTCAACTCTGCCATCTCTTCAAGCCCTGAACATTCAATCAGTTATTATATTTCCTGGGTTTTTCCTTAAAATAGCTCTCAAATTTGTTACTTTCTATTTTCTCTGCTAGCATCACAGTACACATTGCCACCTTTTGCCAAAACTTTCTCCTTTGGTTTTTCTCCCTTCAACACTGCCTACATATATATCTCTGTCCATTTATCTCCCTAAAATAATGCTTACATCCTGCCATATACTTGGCCCAGGAGCCTAGAATCCAGTCAATCCTTTGATTTCAGGGAGAGGCTTTTTAAAAGAATTAAAGTCCAAGTTCTACTTGAAGAAGTTTTGATTTAATTCATGTAGGATGAAGCCCAATTATTAATTTTTCTTTCTAAGTTCCTCAGATTGTTTCTAGGTGCAACCAGGTTTGGGAAGGACTGTGATGAATCTCGAGTACCTGTTAAGCCAAACTAGAACTCCTACAGCAGACACTGCAGGTGCGCGGCCCAGATTCCTTCCAATTCCTTTGCCCTTTCTGTATGCCCACCCCCTATCTTTGGTGTGGATTTGCTCCAAATGGCCATGAGAATATACTACTCTTTCCTGATGACTACCTTTGAGCACTAGAGCACCTCTGTCCCTGCAGCTGCAGAGAAAACGGAAAGGCCTGGGAGTGTATATCCATTGGGACAGTCCACAGTCAATGCCTAAGTAATGTGGGAATGTGAATGCCAAGCTCCCTTATCTGTATCTGGACATATCCTGAGGTGTAATTTACATTTCAGAACTCCCGGCAGGACCAGGCTGAGATGGGGACTTTGCCTAAAAACACACACACCCTTGCTTAGCTTCCCTTTCCCTTCACTCCCTTACTTCTTCTGGGAGCACTTCTTTAAGAAGTCACTTGCACACAAATCCTCAGCACAGTCTGCTCACAAAGAATTCAACCTGTTTTGACATTTTGGTCAAAACAGCTCACTACTTGGACCTATCATCTTTTCTGCAATTATCCAGCATGCCCCGGGGGTCCTAGTTTTCTCATTCACTGTGCTTATCGACAACACTCCTTAAGCATCATGTTTCACTTCACCCAAGATGCCTCTTACCCGCCTCTGTGACCATCACAATTTCCTTCCTTTCAAAAACAAGCTGTAGATATCACTCCTACCGCATGCAACGCCGAAGGCCCTGTCCAGGATAGGTACTCAATAAATATGGGTTTAACGGGTACTGCCTCCTCTGTGAAACTTGCTATGACAATTACAGCACACATACCTCTAGCTTCCATATTTAATGTCAAATTCACACTCATTTGCTGATTCATTCAATCAAAATTTGTGTACTGTGTACCAAGGAACTGTGCTCGTCAAGGGGAACGAAACCGTGAGTGAAGCTATTTCTGTCTGCTATGGGGCTTAAGTTAAGTATACTGACATTAAGGGAGTAGTCACATAAATGTTAATTTATAAACATGAAAATCTAAGGTGAGATAAATGGTACTGTGAGAGAATATTAGAGTAGTAAATGCCCTATCTAGGACTTCTCTGAATAAATAAGAAATGGTGACTTAAAATTATGGTCCTGTTCTCTATAGTAAGGGTTCTTGGTCTTCTCTCCTTGAACTTGCATACAAATTTTGTGTGATGATGTAGTATTCTTTTACTGGACCTCCAAAAGGTCCATTATCCCAAATTTTGCACAATGCCAATCCTGTAGAAAACAATGCCATGTTTACTAATTGCCTCCTACATGTGCCTGCCTGTAGGTCCCTGTTCACAAAAACAGTATTTTTCTTGCATATCTGATATCATTTAATATAATGTTAGACATATGCTCATCCCTTAACAAGTATTTGTTTTCCTTACTCTATTTTCAGCCTAAGAATTTCTATAGAACTCAAGACTCTAAAAAACAAATAAGAAAAGTCTCTTTATTTCTTTATTGAATAAGAGCCCGTTTTGAGCACTTCTGGGTGGAGTGAAAATGGTTATTTGATTTTGTTTGGGTACCAGAAAAACAAGAGCAACAAAACATGATTTGCATGTTAAAACCTGCTTGTGCTAGGATAGTGCCCAACAACTGTTACTATCATATCCTTTCAGAGGTCTGTTTCTTCAGGGATTTAACACTGCCATTCTGGGAATTCCCCATGCTTCCCCATCGCCTGAACCTTAGCTACCCTAAAGGTATGTTACCAGGTAAAAACAGAAAACATTCATTTCATACACAAGAATATAAAAGCTGATTACAGATAAAAGAAGATGTAAGATGCAATAATGTTGATACTTAATAACAACTCAGGTACAAACTCTGATAAAGTAGTTGAAATCTATAGTTCATTTTCAAAGCAATATTTAATTCATGGTTTCTTATTGATGGTTTTCCTTTCCTGTTAGCATATGCGATCAAATGTATGTTGAATGGTTATGTATTAGAAATCAAGTCTCCAAAATTACTTCCCATACAGGGAATGATCACAGGGAATTAAAGAGTATAATATCACATAATTTTGCCATACATGGCTTTTACTTTTTTAGGGCCTTTGAGCCTGGATCCACGTTTATTAATTATTTTGTCCTCCCAGTAATGTTGTACGCCCACGGACACAGCAATTCTCTAAGCTAACTCTATCCTTTCTTCTGCTGCTTCATTGCCAAGTAAAGGAAAAATGGTTTTACTATAAATAGGGATAGCTCTGATTTAGCCCCCATTATTTAAGTAATTTATTCTTAAACATCAGCATCTGAATTATTTTTTTAACATTTTATTAGCATTTTTATTATTAATGGCAAATTATCCACTACATACTTCATGCGTGATGAAGACCTACTGCTATGTTGATATCCCAAAGCTGGCCTCAAATAATTAACACTAACTTGCCTATTCTAACCAAAGAGCTGCTAAGCATCTTGCATGCCCTCACAGAATTGAAAGAATTCAGTCCTATATTAAGCAGCTCCACTGTCTGGAGCGCTCACATGCATTGAAATACTACCGTTATTTTTCTTTTCTTCCTACTGAGTTTTGGCCAGGAAGAAGGGAATGAAGGCAAGGGTAACCACAGTGGAAGGAGATAGGCTGAGGAATATGGAGGAGGTTTCACAGTGTACTGTATATATAATGTGATTGTGAGTGAGTGCTATGGATGAAACGATGTTTAGAGGTCAGGAAAATAGCTTCACTGTGCCCCAGTGACTGGGCTGTCAAAAACGAGGGAAGATTCACTAAAATAGCAATGGGATAGGCCCTAAATGTTTTTATTTCACTTCATTGTTAGCCCAAGAACGCCAATGTTCAAATAGGATTCATACTTGGGTTGCTTTCACTATACAAATAAAAGAACCCAAGAATTTTTCTGTAGCAGTGGATTTTTTAATTGGCATATTAAATCCTCACTACCCCAACCCCCATGCCAAGGCACTCCACCAGTGACTTCGATCAAGCCTTTTGTAGAATTATGAACTTGGAGAGCTTTTTAAAGGAGAAAGAGATTGAATGCCAGGTGGGATTTAGCCAAAGCTGTCACAGCTCTGGTTGTTACCCTTCATAATCCATCTTGCTGAATCAAAAGCAAACTGTGAGCAAACAGCTTAGTCAGTTTGTTTGAAGATACACTCCTGTCTTTCTAGGAGGGATTAAGTCATGGCTACAGTTTGTTTGGAAAATGATTATCCACATGAAAATTACTAAATTTATGTGGCATCTCTTTGGGCCAAAATGTTTTATAACTTCTCATCTCAGGATCACAGTGATAATAATGCTATAGTTTTTATAGTGAAACACAGACCTCCACAGTCTTCAAAACATTGTTGAAATTTTTGCATTTGTCACAAGAACACAGAAAATGTTAACCTTCAAATTTGTAAATAATAAGGACTCAGGTTTTGCCTTTAAAGAGGAATCACAGCAATACCAGATGTGGAGAGAAGGGGATTATTCTTAGCATTTATTATAAACCCTGGGCTCCATGAAAGCCACACTCATGCTCTGCTGCAACAGGGGAGACAGATGAGGTGGCTGAAAGCTTGAGCAAGAAGGAAAGAATAAAATCATCCCTGTGATACAGGACCTCAGAAGTGTTTTTTCCGTTAGAACAGAGTAATGTTAAATTTTCATCAAGGCAAATGGATCTAAATCCTGGAATAGAGTGTAATCTCTAAATAGCTAAGCAAACAGCCTCCTTTTTATCACCAAACATTGAATTTGAAACTCAAGGTATTTTTGGTACTCAAGTAATCCTTGAATAGAGATGGGGGAGGAAGATTATTCAACAAACACTAAATGGTTGCTATGTGTCATGCACCATGACAGGTCTTAGATAAGCAGGATTAATAAAACACTAGCCCTCTCTTCTGGAGCTAATAGTCTGGTAAAGGAGCCAGACACATAAACAATAGACTACTAAGTGTTATGATAAAGACCACAATAGAAAGGTAACTATTAGGTTGAATGATGCATGAAAAAAACAAAACAAAACAAAAAACACTTCATTTGTTTCCCTTACAGGCCCTTTATAACCAATCTGAGGATTCACTTTTCTCTTGCCCTTTGAAGGAACTGTTGGGTGAGGGGAGATCCCATGTTTTTCTTGGACACTCTTCTTTTAAATCACTTGTAATGCCAAGAATAATCTAGCTCACTAAGTGAAATGTCCAGCCCAGTTTATTAATCAAAACAATAACTTTACTTAAAGTTAAAGCTTCTTCCCCCTGCCAAATTGGAAGGGCTTTCAGTCTGGGAGACCTAGAGCAGAGGAGAAGGGTATGGTTTTTCTTTTCCCCTATTTTCCCACCTTGCATTTTCTTCCCCAACCAACTCCCCACTCCCCACAAATTTGCCTCTGCTTTCATCAGGAATGGAGCTAGGCAAAGAGAGTAAAAGGAAGCATTAGGAAATATCCTGACTTTTAGAATCTGAACAAAATATTCTTTCTCTCATAAAGCGTTATTTATTTATTCCACAAATATTAATAGAACACCAATTACATTCCAGCCACTGTTCCAAAACAGGGCAAGAAATCAAAGTCCCTGATTCCAGACATTATAGTCTAGTGGGGCCATAAGTCAACTATACACACACACACACACACACACACACACAATACACACACATATATATCACATATAAGTTATATATAAAATATGTTCGATGGCGACAAGTGCTAATGGAAAAGGATTAAACAGGACGAGGGAGCCAGCGTGAAGAGGTAAGTGTTATTTTACTTAATGCAATCAGGAAAGCTTTCTCTAAGGTGCTATTTGAAGAGAAACCTGAAAAAAGAATTGAAGGACTTAAGCTAAGCAAATATCAGGGTAAAGAGCATTCCAGGCTGAAAGACCAATAAATGCAAAGGCCCTGATTTTTGCTTAGGCAATGCTTAATACATTGAAAGAACAGGAAGAAGGCCATTAGTATGAGTAGAGTAAGCAAAGGGGAGAATGCTGGAGATGAGACCACAGAAATAGAGGGAAGTCAGATCATAAGGAAGGTACACAGAGGCAATTGGCTTTTTTCTGAGTTAAAAAGCAAAACTGTTAGAAGTTTTGAGAAGAGATGTGAAATGATATTTTTTTTTATATTTAATCTGGCTTCAAGGTACAGAAGACAAACATGTAAGGCAAACATGGTAGCAGCAAGACAATTGGGAGGCTCCTACAGGAATTCAGGCATAACTGATGGTGGCCTGAACCACTATGATGGAGGAGGAAGTAAAGAGAATTGCACAGATCCTCAATATACTACAAAGAATTTAATGATGGACTAATTATGCAGCATGAGAGTGAGAAAGTAGTCAAAAAGCTGACTCTAACTTTTTGACCTCAGAAAATTGAAGAATGTTTTCTATTTACTGAGATAGAGAGAAAAAATGTGAGATTAGTTTGGTTTTTACAAAAAACGAGGGTTTTGTTTTGTACATGGTAAGTTTAAGCTTCTTATTTGAAATCTAAATAGATATAGAAGTAGAGAAATACAGCCTAGTCAGCACATAAATAAATTTAAAGACATGAAAAAGGAAATGTGTGGATAGAGAAGTGACCTCAAGCTAAAGACCTGAAAAAGAATGGTTGCTACTACCTTTAAGATACTTTAAATTGTTAAGAAGAAATATATTATCATTAATGAATCACATATCACCTTTAATTACATATTCCTTAATTTAAAAACCTGTAAATATGAAAAAAGTATAACACTTTATATCTGATTTTAATGTTAACCATAAATCATGAAAGTAAAATGGTAGCTGGCAGCTTAGAAAATTATCAAACACATTTTACAACTAAAGACAAAAAAACCTTAAATAAATGCTTAAAATAAACTCAAAAAGAGTTGCTCATAATTGTGAGTTGGAATCAGTTGCTTTTATTGCCATTAAAGGTCTAAAGTCATGATGACTTTTTAAATAAAAATCAGTTTCAAGTCAAATAACTAATTTCCCTCATTTGAAGCACAACCATATATCTCCTAACAAAGATTCTGCTTCTCTTGGCAGTGATAACACCGTACAAATACCTACAAATGTGAAATTAGTGATTCTATTTCATTTGATATTTTCTAAGAGGATACATGCAGATTGAACTTTCAAATAAAACATGGTCATACATGCTTTCATGTTGCATGATCATTGACCCTAGTATACTCCAAGCCAGAGAGGGTAAGAATTAATATTGGCCTACCAAACATCCCATACCCTGTTTTAAGAATAAAAGGAGTCTTGTTATATGTCAATTAAATCTTTCTTTAAAAAAACAGAATAGGAGCCAGATTTCTCACTATTGGAGAAAGGAGTTACACATATGGACAGGGAAAAAACTAAAATTAGCCCTGCAGTGTTGGGTGTTTGATTGGAATTGGGAGATATTAGTGTGAACTCATAGTTTTCAATGTATATAGATACAGAATAAACAGATACATATTATACATGTATATATACAGCTTTGTCCAAAGAGAAGGCATACACACTTCTCATACTAAGCACCCACATATTGACTTCTAAATAACATACACCAGCAAATGCAACCAGCAAATGGCTGCTTTGAGGACTGCTGCAGGGAACATACAAGATAGTCTTGATAGATGTTGGTGTATGGGAAAATAAAATGTTCAAAGAATGATGGAGATATATCAGAAAGATCCAGAAGCTGGTTTTAAGGGGCTCCCACTGTCCAAACCTATGACAATATGAACATCAAAATAAATATTGATAGTAACAAACTATAATTAACTAAATAAAATGAAAACCATGAGCACATATGAATATAAATGAATGAATGAATGAAAAGTTTGATGAATAGAAAGATATAAACAGTCTCAAAGTACCTCTCCACAAAATAGTAATTACAAAAAAACAAGTATAAAAAGCTGGCAGACAATAACTTAACCACATGATTAAATTGAACATCACCAGTAATGGGATTAATAAAAAGCATGCATCACTTTACAGGATGAAATAAGAAGTCAGTCTCATTTGTATGCTATTCCTACCACAGACATATAACCTAAAACTAAACATAGGAAACATATGATAAACCCAAATTGAAAGACATACTACAAAATGATTGCAATACTTAATACTTAACACAGTCAAGCATCAACTGAGGAACGGTTCCAGACTAAAAAAGACTTTTCATTACACAAATTTTCATTGTTTTTTACAATGTGCATTTACTTCCTATTCAAAAATTTTATTCATTAAACATTTTAAATAAATATATATTTTTTAAAAATGTTAACAGTCAGACCCAAAAAATCCTATCTCAGGCTATATACTCCAGAGAATCACCTGAAAATTTGCACAACAGGCATATACAAAGGTGTTCATGGCAGCACTGCTTATAATAATAAAAAACAGGAAACAAATATTCAGAAATCAATAAAAAACTGCTGAATCTCCATTTAAAGAAATACTATGCCACAGTTAAAAGGAATGAGGTGCATCTATAAGCACTGTTAAAGGTAGACTGACAAGATACAAATAATAGCAGTAATAACATGTTATCTATTGGGGAAATTAACAGAAATTCTCCTAATTAAGTACAGACACTGCACTTACTAGACAATATTTTAAATCAATGGCATTAAACATATTCAAAGAGCTAAAGGAAACTATGAGCAAAGAACTAAAGGAAAATAGGAAACGGATACCTCAACAAATAGAGAACATCAATAAAGAGATAGAAATTACAAAAAGGAACCAAATAGAAATTTTGCTACTAGAATGTATAATAACTGAAATGAATAATTTACTAGAGGAGTTTAATTGCAGATTTGGGCATGCTGGAGAAAGAATCAGTGAACTTGAAGATGTGTTAAACAAAATTATCCAGCCTGAGGAACAAAAAGAAAAAAGAAAGCTTAAGTACCTACATTAATACCAAAGTGAATTTCAGAGGAAAAAAAGATTATGTGGGACTGAGGGTCATTTTGTAAATAAAAAGAGGTCAATTAATCAATAAGATGTAAGACTCATAAGCACTTATGCACCTAATAGAATTTCAAAGTACATGAAAGAAAAACAGCACTCCAGAGAGAAAAGAACAAATTCACAATTAAAGTCAAAGATTTCAATAGCCCTCTCTCATTAATTGATAGAACAGATAGACAAAAAAATCATTAACAACACAGAAGACATGAACACACTACCAACTAATTTGACATAATTAGCATTTACACAATACCCACAAAGCAACACAAGAATATACAGCACAGACAAGATTTCTCAAGATAGAATATACTCTGCATTAAAACATAAACCATACATACACACAAATCACCAAATTTAAACTTTTCAAATTAGACAGTATGTACTCCCACAATGGAATTTTTTTAAAAACCAATACCAGAGATGATCTGCAAACATCCCCAAATACTTAGAAATTGAATACACACTTCTAAATAACCCATGGATTCAAGGTGAAATGAAAAGGGAAATGTAAAATATTTTGAACAGAGAGAAAACACAACCGAAATTTCTGAGATGAAATTAAAGCAGTGTTTAGAGAAGAATTGTAGCATTAGATGCCCATATTAGAAAAGAATGGTCTCAAATCAATGACCATAGTTTCTATCTTAAGCAAAGGGGGAGAGGAAAATTAAACATGAAGTAAGGAAAAGAATGTGAGGCAGGTAGTGCCGGGTCACAGGCAGATGAAGTTCAGGACCCTTGTAAAAAGCCCCAATCAAACTCAGCCACTTAGATAGACCTCAGCTGCTGTGACTGGTTGTGCCCTATGCAAATAAAGCTCAGCCATACAAAGGTACATAGACCTTAGCTGCTCTATGCAGATGAAGTATTATACATTCAGCCAATCAGGAGTGAGTTGTGATGTCATTAATTCAGTTCACTATCTGGTTGGTGAGTGAGACTGCCTCCTTTCAAGAGGCAATATAAACCCCAGACAGGGCAGCCCTGATGGCCATCTCTCTTGGAGTCCCTCCTGGCCAGCAGGAGCTCTTGCTTTCTCTTTTCAGTGATTAAAAGAGCTTTGCTGATTCCTCCATACTCTTGTCTGATGGCTTCATTGTTTGTCGCCTCAGAGACATGATCCTAGGGAAAAGGCATTCTGGCTGGTAACAAAAGGAAATTAATAAAAAAAGAAGAAATCAATGAAAGAGAAAAAAGAGAGAAAAATCAATGAAACCAAAAGCTTGTACCTTGGGAAAAAAAAAAAAAACCCCAGCCAGACTTACTATATAAAATCTGAAGACACAAATTATCAAGATCAAGAATAACAGAGGGGACAGCACTGTAAATCCTAAAGATATTTAAAGAATAACAAGGTAATTATCTCAACAAATTTTCACTAACAAGTCTGAAAACTCAGGTGAGATAAATTTAAGAAACACAAACTATCACAACTCACTCATTATGAAATAATTTGATAAGCTCTATAACTACAAAGGAAATTCATTTAAAATTTAAAATCTCCCCCCAAAAAGAACTCTCCAGATCTATTTGATTGCACTGGAGAATGCAGCCATATGTTTAATAAAGAGTTACCACCAATTCTACAAAATCTGTTCTAGAAAATAGAGGAGGAGGAAACATTTTCCAATTCATTTTATGACATCTGACCCCAACACCAAAATGAGACAGTCAGTAAAAAAATAAGAAAACTACAGACCAACATTATTTAAGAATATATATATATGCAAATGTCCTTAACAAAATATTAGCAAAGAGAATTCAGCAATATGTAAAAAGAATTATACACATAATTAAACAGCATTTATTCTAGGGATGCAAGGCTAGTTCAATATTGGAAATCAATCAATGTAAGTGCCTTATTAGCAGGCTAAAGAGGAGAAACCACAAGATCATATAAATTAATGCAGAAAAGCCATTTGACAAAATTCAACACCCATTCATGACTCCAACTCAAAAAAACAGCAAAAGAGGGAACTTCTTCAACTTGATAAAAAGCATCTACAAAAAACCTACAGTAACATATTTTTGGTGGAAGCCTGAATGCTTCCACCCGAAGATCAGGAACAAGGCAAGGATGTCTGCTCCCATCACTCTCATTAAACACAGTGTTGGAAGTTCTAGCCAGTTTTATTGGTATGGTGATCAGAAAGGAGGAAATAACACTGCTCCTATTGTAGATGACATGACTGTCCACAAAAAAAAACCTGAAGAAATTCTCACTCTCACACACACACACACACACACACACACACACACACAAACACCTCCTGGAATTTACATGTGAGTTCAGCAAGGTCTTATATATAAAATAAACATAGAAAATCTATTGTATTTCTATATATAGCATCAATGAGTATGCAGACAAAAAATGTTAAATGTGTTATACCATTTACAGTCACTAAAAAAACAAAATATGTATAGGACTTGTATGATAAAAACTAAACAATGTTGATAAAGATATTCAAGAAGACCTAAATAAACGGAGAGCTAAACTATGTTCATGGATTAGAAGATTCAAAATATTAAACATGTCAATTCTTTGCAAATTGATATACATATTTAACACAACTGCAATCGAAATCCCTGTAGATTTTTGGTAGACAAGATTTTCTACAATTTATATGGAATGGCAAAGGAACTAGAATAGATTTTTAAAAAGTTAAAAAAGAGGAATAAAGCAGGAATAATCAACCCGACAAACTGTAAGAATTAGCTTACTGTAGCTAATGTAGTACTGACTATGTGGTATTAATAAATAAATTACAAGATCCTTCAGGTCATGAGGTCTATTTGTGCAATTCATTCTTAATTATATTAGTAATGTGTTCACATTCCAGATCTGAGACAAAATGAAACCATTCTCATTAAGGTTAAATATCCCATTTCTAAACAAAAATAAATATCTCATTCATTCTATATTGAAGTTTTAATTTATTTATTTACTTATGTCCTTGCTATTGATAGCAATATAGACTCTGGGTTTCCTACTTGATTCAATTCAGTCATTATCAATACTTATTTTGGTGCCCAACTTTTATATTTAGCTGGTTAATTCAGTCTGACTTCTGTGTTTTGATTTATCATTTTTTACTTTCTGGCACAAATGTTGCAGGCTTTTCCTATGCTTTTCCCTGGATCAGCCCAGCTATTTCTCCAAGTAACCCTGATTCCTTTAATGGAGAATGATATTTAGAAGCTAAGTGCTCATTATTATTAGGATGTCGCTGATTTTAGGCCCTCTCAGTGATCAGAGCTAGGAAACGTGTACGTTTTCCAAGCAGTTGGTTCACTGGCTTCAAACTCGGGAAAATCTAGCACTGAAACAGGTAACCACGTGAGTGGAGAACTCATCTAAGGGAGCTGAAGAAAGAAAGAAAGCACGTGGCCCAGAGCAGAACCCTTGGTTAATCAGACATTCGGGAAACGCTTTACACAGTTTTGGAATACGGCTGTATATAAACAAACACAATTGTGACCAAACATGGCAAGCAAATTATTAAAATTTCAAAAAATTATGAACTACCCAAATGTCAACAGAAAAATGTCATATTCTACCACTTAAAAGGATGTAAACAAAAATGTTTCTGATAGTTTATAATAATATAAAAGTACTTATGATAGTGTTTTCCCTTTAAAGTACTTGTTATTTAAGCCATGTAAAAATGTGCATTGTAAAATCTGGAATGAGATGCATCAAAATGTTCATAATAATTGTTTTCAATGTGGGATTCTATAAGGTTCTTCCTTCTACTTTTCCATATGTTCCAAATTCACTACATACTTCTAATAGAGGAAACAGTCACAAAAAGGATTTTCCTCCACCTCTTACTATGATAAATCATGGTGACAATTCCTAATTAACACATAAATATATTAACACCTGCAACCCGAGATTTTCTGCCCTATAAACAAGCCTGCAGGACTGTCTGCCGGACAGGCTGCTCGGGACCTGCTTCCCTGGATCCTGCAGGGGCGACCAACGGTTCTCCTCCCCGCTCTCTGCTCACTGACACTGATGCCTTGACAGGCCCGGCGTTCCCCCAAACCATTCCTACCTCACTCACTGCGGGGTCCCAGGAGCGGTGAGAACTCCTACGGCTTCTCCGAAAACAACCAGCCAGCGGTGCGCATCCGTCCTCTAGTTACGTGTCCTGAGAGGGGAGGAGATTCCGGTCTTAGCGGACAGACTGGCACCTCGGCCTCCCGCTGCCCTGACCTGCCCAGGCGCTTCGAGGCCCTGGAGCCGTGGGGCTGAGACCCTGTGCTGACGGGCGGCCCCGGGGCCGGTTCCCTGACACCCGCCCCCAGCAGTGTCCAAAGCTTTTCCCTGCCCCCTCCAGTGCTCAGGACAAGCCCCGCTAGATACTGGTCCTCACGCAGTAGATGAGATGCGAGACTCATATAACCGATGAGATGCGCGTCTGGCCGCGTCCCCTCAGAGGAGCTGCTTTGCGCACGCTTAGGGACGCGCTGTCAACGGCCAGGCGCAGCCACGCCCACTCGCGTGCGTGCGGTTGGGCGGTGACGCCGTGAGGCCTGGCCGTTAGGGGCGTGCGTGCTGTCCGGTGGTGACGCCGCGAGGCCCGGACGTTAGGGTGGAGGTGGCGGGCGGGGGGGTGGTTTCTTCTGGCCGGGCAGAAACGGTTACCCCCAGGAGCGTCCAGAAACCGTCCCCAGGACCTGTCTGTAACGACCCCGGTGCTGCTGCCATTATATAAACAAACACCAGCCTGACAGGGTGTTCGGTTGGGACAGACATTCTGTCCCTGTCCTGGCCCATGTCTGGAAACTGCTGAGTCCTGGGCCTGAGCAGTTTGAGGCTTGAGCCTCTCACCAGCACGTGGCTTTTGGGTGCAGAGATAAAATCTCACTTCACCCTCAGGTGGCTGCCTAAAGCTCAGTCAGAACCCCCAAAAATAGCTCGTGAGGGCAAATTCCTCAGATGGTGCACTTGAGCCCCATGGCCGTCTGGGTAGGCAGCCTCAGCACCCCAGGGTCTGTGCCCCTGCTGTGAGGCCAGGACTGCTGCCCACAACAGGTGGTCAGCAGACATCTGGGGAATGAGCAAGCAGAGCAAGTCACTCCTCACCAACGTGGTGCCTAGTTAAGTCCTTGAGAAGCCAAAGTCCTGAAAAGAAAATAGTGCATCCCATCTATGAATTCAAAACATTTTTCACAGCGAATCAGAAAGAAGCCAAGTAAAATTATTACCTGTTCCTTTTATGACAGCCACTTCAAAGATTTTTTTAAAGTACCAAATATCAAATTCTCCCATAAAGCAGTCCATCATTTTTCCTATCCCCTTTTGGGGGAACCTGCTCTGTTAGGCTGCTCTGAACACAATGGGGAGTCTTATACATTACTCTGCATGTCTTACTGTGACCTGGATATTAAGTTTCAGCTTTATCTATTTTTCTTTTCCTTTTAAAAAATTGTGGTAAAACAGACATAACAGAAAATTTTCCATTTTAACCATTTATGCCTCACAGTGCAGTAGCATTAGGTACATTCACATTATTCTGACCATTATCCCATCCATCTCCAGAACTTTTTTCATCTGTTGAAAAAAACTATTTCTTCACTCTTATTGAAGGACTTAACATTTTAAGTTCAGATCTCCCTACGACCCTTTCAGTTTTACAGTCTGACTGGAACTGATTCACTGTTTTTTAGGAATAGCCGGGCCAGGCTCTTCTCAGTGGACTGGCCATTTTGGAGTCAGAGTTCAGGTACACCCTCAGTGTTTGGGAAGACCGTTGTGGACTTCGGACATTGATGGGGTCAGTGAAATTCTAACATTTCAGTGAGTCCTGTGGTGGTAATTAAACCCCTTCCTGCAAAAAGACCACCAGAACCCCCCCCACCCCCAGAATTCTGATTCCTTCTCCAAAGTGTGGATTTCATATTTCAGCACCAATCAGAGCTCCCAGAAGTGCCCTCCAGCCACAACACAGAGGCCCTGAGGCCCTGGGAAGCTCTTGCCGGTTGCTAGACTTCAGGCCCCCAGGGTAGCCCCAGGCTGGACTTTGTGTCAAAGGACAGCACAGCTCAGGGGGATGAGTGTAGTGCAGATGACGGTCCTCCAAAACATGACCAAAACGAAGCTGTTTTGCGTTAAGCAGTCACAAGCTGCAGTGTCATATTCCTTATGAAATCCAGAGGCATCCCTTTATATTGCTCATGACCCTAGGGTAAGGTTTAAGGAATGAAGGAACACCTAGTAGCCAAGAAAACATTGAAATAAGGGAAAGAGCTCCCCCCTCACCTGTATTTCCTACACAGTGCTAGCATACCTGTGATTGTCCTGCTGCACATTCCTCATTTTCCAATAAAAGCTTAGTTTAACAGGGTAGAGGATGGGATCCTAACGAGAGTGCTCTCTGAATGCTGCCCACCACTCTTAAGTAACCCCAATAAACTCATTTACTCACCAAACCAAATCTGTCCAAGTCTTTTGTTGGCCAATCAGCGCCTTCTCAGTTTGGGGAAGGAGCTTCTTTTATGTCTCCTTGGGAATTCATGCAACAGTGAGGAATATGGCCCCAAATGCACTTCACAGCAACTAAGAAAAAGGGCCCGTGAGAGGCTTTTCTTTCTGGCTCCTAAGAACTTGCACCTACTGATTCTCACTGCAGCTGCAGGAAGAGAGCTGTGGTCTGGCTTCCTCCTCCTGCAGGAGCAACAGCCAGCTACCCACCGTGGGGCGTTGCCAGTTTCAGCCCAGAGGTCACAGCACTGATGACCCATTAGGCCCCCTGGAGTGTCCTGCACGGCCTTTCCAGGATGGGGCTGTGATCTTGACGGTCCTCAAGCTCTTCTCATGGGTGGCATTGTATGACCCCTAAGTGTGGCTTCCACATTTAGGACCCACGTGGCTCCATAACCTCATGGACAGGTGCCCATCCTTATTACTGCACAAACAAAAGTACAGAGATGTTGCAGTTCGTTGCTTGGATTTGCTGGCATCCTCCCTTTGCCCCTTCTGCTGTTAACAGAACCACCTCTGTGGGGAGAACTGTTCCTTCCCAGCAACGGTCCCAGGGTCACTGGGGCCAGGCCCGGCAGGGAACTCTCTCCCCAACCCCACATATACCCAGGGAGCTCTGGAACCCAAGCTGGACCAGTCAGAATCCCTATCTGGGATCTGACATGCACGCTGCCGGAGGCACCCGCCCGTCCCTGGGTTCCAGCGGCTGGTGCTGCGTTCCTGCGATGGGAAGTCTCCTGGAGGTGGGAGGGAAGGAAGTCGACGGTCAGGAGGGAGGTGGCAGAAGAAAAGCAGGTTCCACTCTTCTAAGGTGGCCTCAATTACAATTTCAGTGCCGTTTCCTAGGCATGTCTAGGTGAAGTGTTAGGTTTTCTTTCATTAGCATTTATTTTATCATTATAATAGCAAACCATGGTTATGATGGGCAACTGGGGCAAAACAGAATCGAATTGTCTTCCCAGCACCACAGAGAAAATAATTGCTAACATTTTAGTCTTTTTTCTTCCAATCTTTTATATTTGCCCCATTGTTAAAGCAGTCTTTTTACTAGAGATTTGTCACTTGGACCTTATGTCACTTCCAGCCACCATGAAGGTCACAGGTAAGAGTTTCTAGCTGTTGTCTGGGCACAGGGTATTCTATACTTAAGAAGACAGGCATCTTTTGTAGTAGATTTCTCTTCCTTCTTCAGGGCACATTCCTCCACATGTGCACAGACAGAAATACAACTCCCTGTTTCCCCGACTGCTGGGACTGAAAGAGTCAGTTTGGCTATTTAGTTCTTTCTAAGAAAAATGGAAGGAGGCTCTTTTTTAAAAAGTGAGAACAGACGTGAAAATCAGCTGGGCTCTTGTTACTTCCCTGCACCACCCCTGATTTTAGGAATAATTAAGCACCTAAATATTGGGTTGTTTTCCATTTCCAGGACTTTAGGTTTAATGATTTTCTGGATTTTGGATCAGTTTGCCCCATGATATGGGGTACTGGTGAGGGAAAACAGAACAAAGGAGAATTTATTTTGAATTAAAGACCAGGAAACTAATGCAACACGCAACAGTTTATTTTTAGAAAAGCAAAAAAACCCCAAAAAACAAATAAGAGAAACAATTTTTTTACTACATATTATAGATTAAGTAAAAATACCTGTATTAATATATATGTATATACATACTGCATATATATATATATGTATACATATATATATATATACACACACACACACATGACATAACATTAAATTACATGCTTCCCAGGACAGAAGAATTAAGACATGTTTCAACATTTAAAACTTTCACAATTTTAAATCACTGCAAGAAAACTTGCTTCTTTTATATTTTCCTTTTAAGATTTTGAGTACAGCAAGTTGTCATACCAGAACCTAAATGTGGGAAACCCCAGCTGTGCACAAATGGTGCTGGGCTTCCAGGAACCCTGAGTCCGGGGGGGTCCCCTGAATCCTCACACAGGTCTCTGTTACCCTACAGTTGTGTCCACCTTCTCCCTGAGATGAGAGGGAATGATGAGGCGTGACAGAATGTAGGGTCCATGTGGCTGTGCACATGGATGTTTAAAAAAAAGCAAATGAAAACATGTCTTATCATAGCAAAAGCACTGGCCATGAGATCTCACTAGAGGAGGACTCCTTTCTCCACTTTCCTTGCCAAAGGAAAATAAAAATTTCAGGTAAAAAAGACTGCAGGTGAAGCACCTCTGGCGATGATCAGCTTACAGCAAGGGACAGAGAGGGAGTGTTTCCTTGCAGACAGCTCCTGGCTGATGGGGATGAGGTCAAACACACCCTCTTCTGCAAAAGGCACTCACGTATTGTCTGTTTATAATCATACAGTGGGATCCCTTACATGGGATTCTTTCCTACAAATATAAAAGAGATACACTGAGGATATGTTACAACAAAGAAAAGAATATAAGAAATACATATTTGGGATAAATATGTGCTTTTTTTTTAAAGGGACACTCAACATAGTAATTAAAAAATTTCATTGAAAAGATAGGAATTCCAGTAAAATTAACAGTAAGAATCAAGATACTGGAAATTGAGAAATGGAACCCAGAACATGGAGGGAAGGGATGATAGCTTTTCAAATGGTCAACGGAAAGAATGTAGTCTGCTCTTGAACTAGAAAGATTATTGACACAACAGAATGTCTGAGCAGGAGGGAGGTAGCGGCAGAGAAGTAGGTGAAGCAGGAGGGAGGGTGGCATCCTGCATGAAGTGGGCAGAAGTCGGGATGTACCCAGAATGTCCCATGGAAAGATGGGCTATATCCCCCTTGCTTCTGCAGCCCTAAAAGACCCTGTCCAAGACAAAGCAGCCCTCACCGGGACACAACGGAGCTAATGGAATTATAAGATGTGCCACTGTTGCAGCTTGAGTCATAGGCCTCCAGGCCATTGCCATCAAGGTTGATTTTGAACACAGAGGACGCCTTCAGTAGAAAGTCTGCGGCATCGCGGCGCCCCAGCTCCCGCAGTTTGGACATGAGGATGCCCACTGTGCTCTCAGGGAAGGAAGTCCATTCCCGGAGCAGTGCATGGACTGGGCTTGGGAGAAACTCCTTGGGCACCCCATTATTGGTGTTGTACTTTGCCACAAGGTCAGGGAGACCCAGGTTCATGGCAAGAAGGCACCAGTCCTTCCCCATGGGATCAGGTGGGTCCAGCAGGCGACACAGTTTCCTCTGGGTCAGGAGGTTCAGATCTGATGCGTGGATGTCCATCCCCAGGCTGGCCTGCGAGTAGATGTCATGACACCCAAAGCACATGATGCTGCTGAAGCTTTCCCGGTACCCACCCATGGTGTTAGTCAGCGAGGTCTCCTTCAAGGTCTGTGCCCGGAAGAAGTCCCGCGGCTGGTAGATCATGACAGGCTCATGGTGCTCCCTCAGCTGCTGGGGGCTTAGGTAATGCTTTACCGTCAACAACCCTGGCAGCGTGGTGGCCATGACGTTCTCAATGGTGCTGCACACTGAGTCCAGCAGGAGGCAACACTTGATCTTTTCTGTCTCCAGACCTCGCACCTGGACCTCGATGCCCTGGCCGTGGTTGACTAGGAGCACCAGCAGCTCGGCCCCTCGGTTGGCAATCTTACAGCCATTTACCCACAGACGGATGTCCGCGTCCCCCTCGGTGCTCTGCTGGTGGATCCACCGGCACAGGTTCACCTGGACCTTGTGAAAGATGCCACATGGGAAGGGGGTGAGGTGCTCCACAGGGACGATGCGCACACCACCATAGACCCTCACCTCATCCTCTTCATCTGTCCAGGAGCGGTGCAGGTTGTCTGTCTTAATCAGGGCAGGTATGTCCACCATTGTACCACTGCTCAGGTCCCGGGCGCAGATGTCCATGGCATCTAGGATCTGCAGCAGCTCCTCCACGTCACTGTCAGGCACCAAGCGCTGGACATCCTCCATGGTGTAGCGGCCCCGGTAATGGTGCAGGGCCCGTGGGGTCTCAACAGATAGAAGTTTCCCCAGGACATTGGTGCAGAGCCAGCGGGGATCCAGGAGCAGAACGTCCTGCACGGTTTCACTCTGCATGATATTAATCTGTCAGAGAAGACAACAGGAGGTCAAGCCTAGGCATAAATGTGGCCAGATGCACCATATGACTCTCTGCAAAACTGAGCCTTGGGTTGAAAATTTCTGTAGGGTACAGCAGTTATAAGTTTAGCCACAGGAAAGGCATTCAGTGTAACAGTAACTGTGATTCAGTCCCACACACTGCCATCTCAGGGTCATGAAACAGGCTGAGGAGTGGTCCTGTATTGAGGAGGCTGAGGACACAGATGACTAAGTGGGTCCTGGAGAGAAAAGGATGTTAGAAGGCAACTGAAGAAATGTAAGACCAGGGCACCGGTTACAGAGGGCAGTGACAGCCTGGAGGAAGGGCTGGCGGCCTATCACAGGAGGGCCACCTGATTTAGATTTCCTTTCTTTTCTTCCCTCCTTTGCTTAGGTCTTCGTGTACTTTATTAAAGTCTCAAAGGCAAGGAGAGATGCAATACCAAATGACCTAGAAACTTACTGGTCAAATTCCAGAAGGCATGAGAATACTGTACCAAAGGAAGAAGTTGAGTATTATTAAGATTTTTTTTATATCCTACTGGTTATACATTGTATAATGTGAGCTTTGATCCTGCACTTATTGCAGCCCTTGGATTCAATCACTTTAAAAGTCCTGCTGGAGGGGCCAGTAGATTAGCAGGTCATTTCAATGGAGTTCAAAAGTTGACACAGTCATTGCTTGAGGCCCTAGTTTTCCAAATCACTGGCTTCTGGACTGTTTTAACTTCCAAACCTATATGATCCACATCAACTAGCTACAAGGTCATACATGGCACTGAGATTGGAGAAACAAGCTTCTGGTGTTTAAACTTCTCAGAACTGATCCTGTTTTGTAATACTCAGAACTGCTCTTTTTGGCTCAGACTCGCTCACTCTGTCTCCTGACTTCACAGGACAGAGGAATGCACAGGCTCTGTCCCCTTTCTGGGAACAGGCTGTGATGCAATTAGAACAGGGCTCCCAAATCACACCCCAGCACTAAATGTGACACAACCAGGAGCAAAGATCCCCACGTCTCGGTCATTGATGGGGACACTGTTTGCTGTGGTTTAGTGTCTCCAGACATGGCCTTAATGCTGATCATCCATCATCTGTGAACCAAAGAGGTCTGTGTAGTGCTGAGAACAGCCCGTGGAGTGCAGCTGTCCTGAGGCTGTGGAAATCCCAGCTAATTGGCAGGTGCCCCTTGGGAGAAAGGAGAGGTCCTGGCATCCAGTGCAGGGGGTGTGTGCCCCTGAACTCACAGAGAGCCAAAAAACAAACCAAAGCAAAACAAATGACCAATTTTAGGGTGAACAGCAGAGCAGATAACCACCTTTAAGAAAATCATATGAGGCTTCCATGTATTTGGAAAATTGTGGATTGCTGGGCAGTTTGAACTTGGCCTCCTAGCTTCATACCACCCTCAGATGCTGGAACTGGGCACAGAAATGACCCCTGGGGCCCCTGCCAGACCCCCCACCTTGGCTCTAGGAGCCTCACCTCGCCAGTGCTGTGTAGCTGCTGGGCTATGCACCTGAGGTCCTCCTCACTGGCCAGGGGGTTCAGTTGGTCCTGCACATCATACACGAACTGCTGTAGGGACATCAGCTGGTTGGGCCCATTGAGCTTCCTCCAGGAAGGCAGAGTGGAGATGATTTTCTCACATAGATGAGTCATTGCAGGGCATACCTGGAACAGAAAGGGTGCCACAGGTCAATGTACAGCTGTGGGGACACAATGATGGACACAATGCCACTCATTTCTGCAGGCTGCATGTAATTCTTCGCATGAGTTAGTGTTTTTTGGGGTGGGTACTGAGCAGTTCTTTTTTAAAGTATTGCCAATAAGCAGAATCTGTCATCAAAGATCAAATTCTGTAGAGGCTTTCCTTTCTAATGTTTATGTTAAAGTATGATGGTGAGGCTTCTCAATGCTTTGGAATTGTGGACTCAACCAATGTTCACCAACTCCTAACGTTTTACTCCCTGCCTCCCTCTCTCCATCCCTCACTTGGAGCGACTGCTTCAGCTAGGCAAAGGTCACTTTAGGAGCATGGAGAGAGGCAGAAACAATAAACACCATTATCAATATTAAAGTGGGTTTTGGTCCATAAATCAGGTATTCATGGAGTCTGTTGTTGAAAAAATTATTTCAAATTGAACTAATTAATCTTGGTAATTGGCTTGAAATACGTTTTTAATCTCTTACTTGATTAAATAAATCTCTGAACTTGCTTACAGACTCTTATAATCAACGCACCTTCCTGACTACATACACCAGCCATACGGTGCTCTGCTTCACCGATCAGGCAGTCTTCTCTTGAATCCTTTTATACCAGCTAAACTGTACTCCCTATTCAAAAAACAAAATTCCCAGGGACACAGGCCCTTTCTTTGATGGGTGCCATCTGACTGACCTCAGGAAATGGGGAAGGGGGAATGTTAGGCAGATGAGCACACCACATCCCAGCTCAAAACTCTTCAAGGGACTCCCTATGCCTGGGAGCAGGGGCCCTAATGCCAGCTGGTGGGGAGGTACTACCCAGATTGCTGTTCCCAACCCACATGCACTAGTTCTTCCAAGGCCTGCCAGACTGCTCCCCACCACTGACTGTGCCATAGCGGGGACCCATCATAAAGCAAGAACCAGGCTTCCTGAGCAAGCGGAGAGTTCCTGAAAATTCCAGAAGCAAATCTGGAACTGGAGCCTGGTGCTGGAAACACAGCACATCCCATCAGGGAAGCAGTAAGTTGTAAGTGGAGGGGCAGCTGCCAGGCATGGAGAGAGGGTGCTGGGAGGCAGGGCAGGAGCATTCCGGAGCACTTAGCAACTTGGCATTGGGATGTTTGCCCTGAACATACCCATTTAGGAGCGCTACATAAAACATAAAGCCGCTGTAATCGGTAAATCAAAAAATAAAAAGTGAATGGAATAGATTAGTTAGTGTAGATGTTAATTACCACATCTACAGAAATGTAATAGGAAATAAAGATGTTATAACAATTTAACAGGGACAATTTTTATTTTATAAATGATCTGCTACACCTGGCTATCTGCCTCTTGGGCATACTCACTGAAACAATCTGGCTCCGTATTTCTTGCAGGTGATTTCGAAGCACCTTCATGTCCTTAGAGCCTGAAGCCCCAGCATCCAGAACAAACAGCTTATTTGAAATGTGAAGATCATTCCCGAACCTAAAGGAAGAGCAGTGGCCTCATCAGAGTGACACAGACTCATCAGTTATTTCCACGCAGGGCCAGGTTCTCACTGGTCCAAAAGGCTGGTCAGAGGCCAGGAAGTCCTGGTGACCTTGCAAAGTCTCCCCACCTGCTGTTTGCTGGACACTGTCATGTACACCAGTAAAGAGGCCTGGGGACACATGTGTGGTCTGAGTCATACAAGCAGACACCTCAGATGCCACAAAATGGCAGGAACACAGCGTGGAAAGACTTCAGCTTCCCTGACACAGGAAAAGGGAGGCCTAATGTGCTCACCTTGCAAGTTAGGATAAGGGACGCTATTGCCAGTTGATGGAGCAGACAGAGAGCATGAAAGTTCCACCCAGATTTACAAATATTAGTTCTGTAGTTTTTTACAGATTAGTTTTGTAGCTTTGTACAAATACACCTTAGTTTTCATGTCAAAAAGATAACAGGTGTCTTCAGTTGACACACAAAGAATTTGAGTACAGAGTGCAGGTTCAAACAGACACTAAGTAAAAATACACATTTTTACATTGAGACCCTGTGCATGTCTATATTTATAAGTGGAACAAAAATTTACAAAAGCACTTGATAGGAATGCTCTGTGCACTCCATCCCACTTTAAAGAGTTGCTCAAGGTCTATTAAATGAATTTCATGACCCCTTAGTGTGTTTTACCTTGTATTTTGAAAAAATGCTGCTCAGCGGTAGATGATAATTATCAAAAGAACTGAAAACTAAAATAATTAGAAAATCTGAGGATCTGAGGTAAAGCATAGTGACAGTAGTTGACAGTACTGTATTATATAATTGCTATTTGCTAAGTGAGTAGAATTTAACGTTTTTAGCATAAAAATAAAAGAAGATAAATGTGCGAGGGGATTTATGTACTCATTATGTAGAGGGGAGGAATCTCTTCACAATGTAAATGTACATCAAATCACCACGATATAAACTTTAAATATTTTACGATTTTATCTGTCAGTGGTATTTCATTAAAGCTGAAAAAATATACAAAAACCAACTAAAAGCAGTTACTTCTGCACAGTGGCACCGGGAAGTGGGGAAGGCAGTGAAAAGTCTATTGTTTTTTAATCCCTTGATCTTTCCTGCTGTTGGATTAGTTATATGTGTATTTATTGCCTTGATAAAAATGAAAATACAACAAAAAAGGCAATCAAGCAAGGGGCCTTTAATTTCTTTAATTCCTTTCTCTGGTCACATGATTCGGTTGCATTGCCCCTGCAACCACCCCTTACCTATTCCTGATCTCTTTCAGCAACGATATGTCTTTGTCATATCCAAACTCGCCTCCAGCTGGACGTGGGACATTCATGATGTCGGCGTGGGTGGCCACCAGGACAACTCGGAGTGGGTTCTTCAGCTTGCCACCGAAGGCTGAGGGTGCGGAACAAACCGTTTCAGAGGTGGGTCCTCCTTCCCGGCTGCCTCTACCCCCCAGGCACTACAGGGTGCACGGGCCTCAGGCCACACTGTTTCTCCAGGTGGATATGCAACCTGCCTGCAGACTTGAGGGCCCCACATCCGCTGTGCAGTATGACCTCTCGGCCAGGTCAACGAGATGAGCTTACTTTCTGGGCTCAGGGAAGGTGGCTGGAAGTGAATCAGAGCTGACCCAGAATACGAGGCAGTTTCTCAGCTCTTCCTCTGGACAGTCCCTTTGCATGGTGAGGGGAGATCTAACCTCTGACCAGGGGGTGCCCATTATGAACCGCAGAGAGCTTGCATGGTGAGGGGAGATCTAAACTCTGACCACAGGGTGCCCATTATGAACCGCAGAGAGCCCCCTGCATGCAGCAGTACCACAGAAGTGACTCAGGAGAGATCCTCCTGCCATTTGCTCCTGTAGGAGAGCCTCCCACTTACGGAGGGTTTAAAACAAAAATGTGAAAAAAGGATGAGAAAGCAAAAGTAGAGGTTCCCTGAGGGGGAAGAAGTCCAATAGTTTGATTATTATATATGCTTTCCAATGAAAAAACTGACTGTTGAGTTTTACATTTCTCCAGTGAAGGCTGCTGGTTTTGTTGTGTGAAAAGAACAAAGAAACTTCTCCAAATGACTTGCCCTCTAAGAATAAAGTTAAGGTGATGCATTCAGTCAGTATGACCCTGTGCTGTTCTTCCACTCCCGATGGGCAGAGAGAATGAAGGTGAGCTTATATTGCTTAGTAATCGTGCACCCACTAGGTAAAGGGCCTGCAGCTGTCAAAGGAGGTATGCCGCTTTGTACCCAACAAAGTGACTGCAGCTCTATGGGTAGAAAGAGAGAGAGAGAAATGGTTCTCAAAGAATTGATCAGGATTGGGTCTTTGATGCAGCAAAATACAACATGACACAATTCCTTGCCAGGAAAAATGAACAGCTGAGCCTTAGGATGCTTCCAGAGTGAGCATCTTCTAGCAGAAAGGAAGGACCAACGGAGGTGCGGGCCAGGGGGAAGGGCTCTCGCTCCCCAGGGGTGTCGTAGCTTACCTATAGGCTCTTCAACTGGCACAAGGGACTTCAGGAAACTAAGCCAGAAAATCACTTGGTTCAGCTGGATCTCATAGGGTTCTTCCAGACTAAAAACGATGACATGGATGGATGTGGGATCATTTGCAGCAAAATAGTCGTAACAGCAGAAGTATACAGGATTTCCGGAGAATTCCCACACACTGAAATCACCGACTCCTACAGAGACAAAGATTACTGTTGTGAAATGCCACCACCAAAATTTCAATTCCAATTTTTCTTAGCATGTTAGGGATTAGCAGTAGGGAGAATGCCATCTGGAGCACTGATCTGTTTGTTTATGCATCTACGTCCATATAGATCTATATTGGTAATACATATCTGTGGGGAAGCTTGGGTTCCTATGGCCAGGATCCTCACTGAACTTAAACCACCTGATGATGTAACTGGCCTGTTGCTAGGCTACCGCTTCCACACCTTTAGGCAATAAGCTATTACTGTGCTATATAGAGAGCTTGGCCCAAGGCTCTGGGTGGAGGCAGAGAGGCTAGTGCTCGACCTACCGCTGGGAGAACAAGCCAGGTAATAAACTGTTTCGTCCCAAAGAAATGTTCTATTGTCATTTCTTTGGTCTCACTGAATCCATAGTGAACTTGTCAGGGGCTGAAACCCATTGGCAAGACAGTATCTCCCTTACGTGTATGTGCCTATGTCTGTTTATACGTCCATGCCTTTTGTCTATCTATAAATCTAGAATATCTGTGTCTGGTCATCCATTTCCCTAAATACATTTATTGTTATATCTGTATCTATATCTCTATCATATTTATAATTTTCTGGGATGGCATACACACACACAACGCTCACATGCACACATGTGTACATGCCTATAAGCATACATGAAAATCCGTATACACATTACTTTTCTTTCCCTCCAAATATTGGTATGTAAAAAAAAATAAGAGAGCACCACCTGGGCAAAGAACAAACATCGTCATGCTGCTTACACAGAGGCATGAGTTATGCTACATCCATAAGAACACTGCTTTAGACACTCACATCTTAATACAAACACTGTACCTTTACCTATAGAATTTACTCCTGATGAGGAAGGAGTCAGGGAACAAACTACCTACTTTGGGTCCCTGATTGTCAACTCACAGTGAGAGAACATACACGAGAGTGAGATTCTGTATTCTCAAGTATAAATTCTCTTCAGAACATAACAGGGTATATAATGTTGAACATAAAAGTCACTACAAAATGTAACCTTAATTGTAGTTAAATCGTGACAGAATTCTCCTCCCCCAGGTGCGTGAGTGACCTGTTCAGGCTGGTCAGATGCCAGTAGGCTGCTGTGAACAGGTGGACGATGCCATAGTTGGTTAGCATCTCTGCATAGGAAGGATGTGGGTGGAACCCTGAGGAGGGGCGGTCCCCGAGGCCTGTGCTGAGGGAGGCAGCAGAAGCCTGGGTGGAAGGTTGTGTGGTGGGGGGCAGCTGCTCCCTGTCCCAGAGTTGTGGGTATGGCTGGTTTTCCTGCACACGTGTGTGGGTGAGATTCTGACCAGGAAAGCCTCCCAGTGGAATCTCCCAATGACTGTCCAGACACATGGGTGCCCCCAACTCTCCACTGCCACATCCCGCCAGGATGTGACCATCCACCCACTGGCCTCTGGGACAGCCAGGCAGGACCACTTGTGCTGTAGGATTTGTCTCCATTTCCCTAATTCTTCCTTATGGTGGGTGCTTATTCTGTACCAGAAATTCTGCAGGCAAGAGTCATTTTGGAAGATCCACAAGGCTTCTTAGAGCCTCCTCTTGGAGCACAGGCATTCTCGGGGAGGAAAGCCCTACGGAAGGTGCAGAGTTCTGGGACACAGAAATAGGCTCTTGAGCATGGACAGTATTGGAACACTGAGTGTGAGCACCAAGGCCTCTACTGCAGGGCCAGCTCTGCTCACCGACCTCAGCGGGCACTCCTTTCTGAGGGCAAATTGCACATGAACTGTAATTCGGCTGCACTAGGGCCAGTGGTTCTCAAAGTGGTGTTCCTGGTACAACAGCAGCACCTGGGAGGCCTGCAGACCTGCTCTATTCTGCACTTGGGCAGGCCAGGCAGTCTGCTTCCACATGCCCTCCAGGGGATCTGCCTGTGCTGTAAGCTGAAGAACCACTGCTTTAGCTAATACAAACAGAGCTTCTACTTTACACTGGGGTTGGGATATTAAATGGGCCTTCATGAAGATGCTCCCAATTGTGGCATTCTGGGTATGTCCCCAGTGCCAGACACTACAGCAGGCCCCTAAACATCAGCTCACAAACTCCTCACAGCACCTTTATAAGGTTGGTATTATTGACCCCATTTTACAGATTTGGAAGCTGAGTCTCAGAGACATGCTGCCTCCCTGTTCTAGTAACCTGGGCCCAGTTGGGGGCCCTGTGGGTGCAGCTGAAGGGCAGAATGCTTGATGGAGTAAACCTTTCTTGGTAATATTTAAGACTTCACCTCTTGGAAATGTTTGAGAACACACTTGATATTTCCCTATGGAAAAATTGCCTGTGTCTCTATCACAGAATTAGCCAAGACTGAAGGTGTTGAAAAATAATTCCCTGCATATCCAGATTTATTAAACTGCTAGTGGGATTGTATTATATGTGATTTCCCATCCAACCGGATGTTTGGCTCTACTTCAAAAATTTATCTGACAATCATGTATGAAGTACCTACTGTGCACCCAATGCTTTCTGGGGATGGCAGGGTGTTGAGTTTTACTTTGTAGGGGTATCAACCCGCCATGCTTCTGTCCTGGGTCACTCCCAACATCCCTTTGCACGGCTCTTCCCCTGTCCTTTTGGGGCTATGACAGATGCCCACCAGCACAGGCTCCCTTAGGGGAAGGACTTACAGCCCAGCAAAGGGAAGCGTGAGGTCCTTTCCCTTGGGGGTGGCAGGGCTTACCATTCAGATAGGCGTTCTGGATGTCGATGGCTTTAGTGGACTGGTCATCGGCAGAACAGTGTGGGTGGTGGGACGGGGCCACCAACACCTCCAGCGTCCCTTTGGTGAGGCCTGGCTCGAACATCATGCTGCGGCTCCTCACGCTCACATTCTCACAGCCCGGGTACAGGGTGCTGATGCTCACAGAGACTGCAGGCCAGAGAGGAAGCTGGTGAGACCTCGCACAGGGCAGTGTGCCCACTCACTCTCCCTCAAGCCTTTACCCATGTGTTGTCCCTTTCTGATACATTCTCTGTCCCCATCACACTCCTGCTTCAGGCTGGGCTTTGCGAACCCCATGTGTGTGCCTTACAGCTGTGTTTCTACGGATGTACAGTTGATTCTCTTTGCGCCACCTCCCATGTCCTGTTCCTGCCCTGCTCTGGGCCCTAGAGGCTGACCCCATGGCCTCCATCTCCCAGGCTTGCTGGTCATTTGCCTTCTGGTTAGGCTCAGCCAGTGGGAGGCACCAGAGAGCCTGGGGGAAGAGAAAGACAGAGGTATTTCTCCCCTCCTCACTCTCTGCTTCTTCTTTGGCATCAGCTGTGCCTCTCTGAGTCTAGACCTCCCAGGAGTGGCTTCACCCCAGGGCTCTGGCTCTCACAGGAAGACTTCTGTCTCATCAACCCCAGGGGATGTAATGCTCCCCTCTGTTCCAGGCCTCTGGTGTATGATCATGTTTGATTTCATGTGATTTTTCCAAGACTCTGCCCTTCTGTAAAGTCCCATCAGAACCCCAACTTATGCAGATGAGATGATACTGCTCTGGTACACCAGACAGTTTTAGGTTGAATGAAAATAACTATATACATGGCAGGCCATGGCATTAAATGACACTGAACCACACAGTGAGAAAGTCAGTCCTGTGGAATTCCACTGGAGGCTTTTCTGCTGCTCCTGTGGCCAATCTCAGTTTGTGGCATGAAGCTTTGAGCATCTTTTCACTCTTTGCTAATCTTCCCATTTCATAAGGAGGGAGCGGGCAACTGTATATACTGAGATTTTAATCACATCATTTGCTGTTCACTGAATTTTCTTGTATTTCTGGCAGTAGTACTGGTTTTACATTACAGAAGGTTATTAACCACTTCATCTTCAAATCAATGTATTTTAGTAGTAAGAAGGTGAATCAGCTTAAAATTACATAGGCAATCATGGTGGAACTTGGGGGAGAGGCAGCTGATTAACAGTGCGGGGGGGCCCCGTGTCCAGGCACAGAGCCTGTGGTTCCCAGGGACAGAGCCCTGGCTTACTCACTGTCACAGTGCTTGCTGGCTTGCCTGTCTCTCCCAACAGACCCCCATCAGCATGTGAAGGCAGAGCTGGTCTGTCTGGGGGCTCCATGAGCAGGATTGTACCTATGGTTGGTACCTTTGGTTTGCAGTTAATAGGGACACACATTGCAAGGAAGTAAAGAAATGACTATTTCACCCGGCACATCTGGCTTTGAAAGTGGTGATCCAAACACAAAGGACATTCCTTGTTTAAAGACCAAAGTTTTCAGACTAAGACTTGGACACGGGAAATATCCAGGGTGAGCAGGCTGGGGAGTGGAGCTCAAGGGCAGGGTCAGGGATAAGGGAAGGAGAGGGCAGTGAGATGGAATGAGTTATTCATATGTATGCGTTTTCTCTTTATAAAAATAGAAAACTTGGTGAACAAAAATGTAAAGAGGAAAACAAAATGACTTGACTTTCAATGCCAAAATGGTCCACATTTTAGTGTATTTCGTAGCAGGTCATTATTCCAAGTCTGAGAAAAGCTATATGGTTTCACAAGAATGGGTTTGCCATTCCCCAGGCTGTGAAGCCTTTGCGGAGGACAACAACTATTAGGACAAACCTTGTTTTAGTGGCATGTGGGCTCCAGCTTGCCCAGGGAAAGGAGACCAAATTGGGTAAATGACAGCCATTTCTGCACATCACTGACAGTTTTCACTGGGAGGATAAAAGGTTGGACAGGCTTTGTTCACTGTATTAGAAAAATAGTAATTTCACAGGCAAACACTGTTATCAGATTAGGACATTATTTTTGGTAACTACTGACCCCTAGTGGTGGAAAGTGGTGGCAGATCCTGATGGAGAAGCTCTGCACCTTGGTCCAAGACTCCCTCACTCTGCCGGCTCTGGGGAGAGCAGGCAGCAGCCTCCTGCTGCGCTCCTCCTGGGCACTCGCTCCCCTACTGCCCTGGTACTTCCTGCCTACTGTGGAGCCACAGCAGGGCAGCTACAACACTCAGTTGGCCACAAAGTGGATGCATGCGAGACAGGCAAGCAAGCATGGGGGGTTGGCAGGCAGGTGCGGCAAGCCTTGCAGGCAGGGGCCGCCAAAATCCACCCACACGGCCTGGTCTTGTCTCCTGGCTGGTGGCTCAACCTTTAGCATCCAGCATTTTCAGCTGGCAGCACAGAGGGCCTGGTCTCTAAAGGCAAACCAACGTCCCACTGTCTGCATGACGTAAATGTGCACACACTGGCATCCCTTCCCATGAAAACAAAAAGCCTGATCATCCTAATTCTAATGAGTTCATGGGGCCCCCGGGTGCTAGCAGTGAGACCATGCTGTTTCCGGAACCAGACCTCCTTCCCTGCAGGACATAGCCGCCCTGGGGAGCCTGCCACCATCTCCCAGTCTGTCCTCCCAAGATGACCACCGTGGCACCTCACGCATGTGTCTTGATCTGCTTTTCCAAGGCCTGACTTGCTGCTGTTTGGTGGGGGTCAGGAGGTGAGCTGAGCTGGCCAGTCTAGGGCTCGCAGGCCCCAGGCTCCCTGTGTGGTGGCCTCCTGCTGGTGGCCCCTCAGCCCAAGGTGTGCTTGCTCCCTGCTGGGCAGGGGAGCTCCTGGCTCTCCTGGGCCTCAGGCAGGCTTAGATTCAACTGCATGTGAGACTTTTCACTTCCAGGGACTGTTTGGATAGAAACTTTCCCCACCCTTTGGAACAAACAGGCCACTGGAGAACTAAGCAACACAGGCCTCTATGGGGCTACCCATCTGTTCCATCCTTCCTAGGCCTTCTGTGAGATGACCGCCTGGCTTTGGCCAGACAGATGTGGGACTTAATTCCACCTCTGACATTGACTAGGGGTGATCTTAGCTCAGGCATCTTAAACTCCACTGCATCCCCAACATGTCCTCTCTATCACAGGGCAAAATGTCATGCATGGGCTGGGGGAGTCACTTTCTGAGTTCTCTTCTGGTCCACTGGCTCTGGAGTTAGGGAGCTGGGTGGGGACAGGACTGAATGCAGAGTGCCTTCCTCCCTGCCAACCCACCCCAGGCAGGAAAGCATATCCACTGTAGCCAGAGCTTCCAATTCTCCACAAAAAGCCAAATATCCAACATTTTAGGTGAAATCTCTTGATTTTTAAATGTTGGCACATAATTTTTTCCCCTCTCCTTCCCCATACTGGACAGACACTGCAGCTGAACAGGCCCCAGGTTTTGGCCTTTACATTAGGCAGACATGCCTTAGGTCTATGAGCCTCAGGTTGCTTTTCTCTGAAATGCGTTTATGAAGCAACCTCACAAGTTGTGAGACTCCCATAGTAGACTCATGCACAGCACCTGGAACACAGGTCACCTACTGCCTTCATCCCACATGGGCCTCTCCACACTTTATTGCCTCTATACGGGTTTTGCTGTGTCTCCAGGGAGCTGCAGCCTTGCCCGCTTGACCACCTTCTGCTGTCCCCAGGCCTTCTCTCCCATCTTTCCAGCATTCGCTACCTTCTCAAGTCTTGCAAATCCCAGGGGCTTCCTTTTAGGGAAGTGACCACAGAGAGCAGAGATGCACTTCCTTGGGGCTTGTGACATCACTCCAGGGGGCAGTGGGGCACAGTTTGAAGGTTTTCTCCCTTCAGTTCCTTCTGGTAGCAGAGCCAGCATTTTCTGGACCACAGGACACCAGGACGATTGTGAAGAACTAAGTCACATGGGATAAGGAAGAGCAGTGCTGGCCTCCTACCAGTGCTTTCAGAGAAGCCCAGCCCCACTCATGAGTCACCTTGACATGGAAATGACAGGTTTTGTCCAGGGAAGGCAGTCCTGAACTAAGGAGAGAACAAGAGAAATGGCCTCTGTGTGAGGCCCACACCAGCTCTGTGCTGGCTGCAGATGTGGGGCTTGGTTGATCATTAGAAAGCTATAATATCCTGGAGGGAATCTTCAGTCACTGAGGCCCGTGACCCATGTCCCAGCACAGGCTGAAGGACTTGGTTACACACGGAGACTCTTGCTGATATTCCAGCCAGTGTAAGCTGCACTTTATCCAGAATCTACTTCTGGATTCTTCCAGATGTGGGAAATTGACCAGGAGAAAGATGAATGGAGATGTTACTCCTGAGAGGTGAGGGTTGAGTTGCAAATAAAATCTCTTCCTCCCAGGAATTCATATGCCACTTGATGTGTGGCTAGTTCAGTTTAACTCATAGGCTCCTGGGGCATAATCTTCACTCCAGTGAGGACTTAACAAAATTCACGATCACAGATCCAGATAGATCTCTCTGTCTCACACACACACACACACACACACAGTCTCCTTCCCTCCAATTCCTAAGTGCTTAGACTGGAGTGACCTTTTGTCACAGCAAAAAAAGCTGGCTCCTCCTAGGGGTGACTTCAGAAACCGCCAGAGATGCTGACCTTGAACTAGAAACACAGTCTAGTCCAGACACACAGGCTGAACCCACCTACTAAATCTGGAAAAATACTGGCATCAGAGAAAACATGAGGCATCTTACATCCCCAAACTGGACCAAAATTACCCTGGAAAATGGAGAATGTGTGCATGAAAATGCCCTTACTCAGATGGAGCTACAAGCATCATTAATAAGCAGTGGCTTTAGCACCTGACACTCTTGAACGGAGCTGTGTGACACCGAGCAGCCACTCGACCCCCGCCCTGTTAAGAGTACCCCAAAAGGCTGTCTTATGGATTAAATGACGTGTCACATGAACCACACTTGCCTAGTTCCTGGCACACAGTTAGTGCTCAATGAGTATCAGCAGTGTTACCAATGTTACAATCATTTTAATTGTAAACCCACTTTGGTTATTATTTCTTCCCCCAGTTTCAATTCCAGGGCTGTGTTCAGAGAAAAGAAGTTGAAAAGAACATGAAAGTCTTAGCCAACTGTCCCCCATCCCCGAATACTGCTCCCCAGACATCCTCCTTGGGGAGAGATGGAAACACAAACCGTAAACAGTTGCTTTCATGCTAGGAACAGATATAAAAGTTTGCAATATCATTTATAGAAAGTGAATTCAATGCATAGAGCTTCAAAGTTGACACCATTTAGGAAACTCTGAAATTCTCTGTTCCTATCTCTGTAAAACTAGATTCACTCTGAAAGGGGGGCTCAAGAGAAATTAACACCCCAGATTGCACAATTTCTGTCTGTGCACTGCTGGTGTTTCTCCCTAGGGAAGGACAGGGAACCCTGCAGTTCTGTCTGTGAACCCACCTATAACTGGTCTGCAAAGGCTGGGGAAGACAGCAAAGCCTGTTTCAATCAGGGTCTCTTGGGAGCCGCTGGACCAGCCGTGAGAACCATTCAGCAGGCTTTCAAACCAACCCACTTGGAGTCGCGCAGGACAGGTGTTTCCTTGCGGACCCAGGTGTGTTGCTCTACGTTCCTGCGTTGCCGGGTGTGTCTGCAGCATGCCAAGTAGCCTGAGGGGAGAGGCCCGGCCTGGAGCCAGGATTCCATCTGGGCAGTCTGCAGTGTGTCAGCCCCCGCTCTTCTGACGCCCAGGGCAGGGTCCCCGAAGAGAACATGGTGCGACTCTGCTCTCTGTGCGTCTGTGGTTGTGGCCTTTGTGTCAGCGACCACGATGTCAGCGAGGCCCTTTCCTTGTCACAGGGACAGTCTGCACTGCAGGCCAAGAGCAGGTGGAGACGAGGCCCACAGCCAGGTGGACCACACCTGAAAGCCACCCAGGCAGCAGGTTCCAGTCAGAGGCAGCCAAGGGACAAAAATAAAGCCACCACTCATCCTAGACTTTGCGAGGAGAAAGGGCAAAAGCAAGCACCTCGTGGAGGGACAGCAGCTTGGGGGAGGCACCCACCTGCAGGCCTGGAGGCCAGGGGTGAAGGCGGGAACCGGGTGGAGTTGGTGGAGGAGAGTCTGGGCCGGCGTCTTCTGAAAAAACTCCTCAGCAGCCCGCACTTGAGAGACTCCACGAGGGTGGTTTTCCCAGACCCAGAATGGCCGAACAGCTTCAGTTTGATCCTCGGCTGGAGGTTCTGTGTGGGTCGCAGCTGCTGGGTGAAGAGTCCTCGGTGCGCGTCCTGAACACAGACGAAAGAGGAAGAGAAGGGAGGCCCTGAGCAAACTGCAACTGCTGATTCTCATGGTTCAGAGTCCCTGGCTATGTCTTTTGCGTTCTGTGATTTATTCTCTATTTTTTGTCTTTTTCTTGAAGTATAATTGATGTATAACATTATATTAGTTTCAGGCCTGTAATATTGTATTGATATTTGTATATATTGTGAAGTGATAATAATCTGGTACCACAGTTACAAAATTTGTTAATCTTAGTATGAGAACTTCTAACAACTACTCTCTTAGTGATGTTCAAAATGCAGTTCTGTCCTATTAACTGCAGTCTCCATTCTGTACATCACATCCCAGGATTTATTTAACTACGCTGGAAGTCTGTACCCCAGTCTGCAATTTTAGCTTACTGAAAGTCCACTTCCATACTGCCCATGTTAAGGCAAACTTTTCCTGGCTTTCCTGCTCAATGTCAATGGAAAAGAAGGCAGCAAGATCCACAACATGATACATTCCTACTTCCTGACTGAGGGTGCCCATCAGGTCTGCAAGAAAGGAGACAGCAGCATGCAAAAGGGGTAGGATTTTATTTAATTCTCTGTAATCCACGGTCATACAACAGAGGCCATCTGGCTCTTTTACTGGCCATACTGGGGAATTGAAAGGACTACGGGTAGGCTTTATAATACTCACCCTCTCCAGTTCCTGGAGGGCTTCTCCAATACATTTATGCCCTCCAGGCAGTTTGTATCGTTTGGTATTAATCACTGACCGAGGCACAGGTAAAGCTATGGGTGGGTGCTTAGCATGTCCCCTCAGAACTGCCTTCACCACACATATCCTCAGTCTGAACTCACCTGCAGAGGTCTGTAACCACAGGCCCTGCAGCAAATCTATTCCCCAAATATATTTGGGGATGGGAGAGATACACATAACACATTCTTTTACGGGTAGACACCCTATTCCCAATGGGATTCTGACTTCAGTCCAATAGCCTTACCCCCAGTATCCATTTATAACAGCAGGGGTCCTGGGAAACCGCTCAGGGTTGCCATAAATCACTAAACACTCTGCTCCTGTGTCTACTAGAGCCAGGACATGTACGTTCACTGGGGACCAATGGATTAGTATTTAAACATGTGGTCTCCAGTTCCCCTCAGTCCCTCAGGGTGGGTACCTCGACCCTCCCCTGTCAAACTGTATCCCCCAGTCATCTTCCTGCACAGGTTCAGCCGAGGTCGGCTCACTCTCTAGCAGGAAGTCTTGCAAACACACAGGCCACACTTGTAGCTCTGTCTCCAGCCTCTGCTTCTTGGTCCTCAGCGGCTAGGAACAGGTAGGTGCTCCAGTGTCTGTTGTTGCCACAGCTTCAGTAAAATTCTATTTGACTTCCTATCTAATTTCTCCCTGTCTGCTCCTGCCCCTATTAAATCAACCTACATCTGGAACCCTGCGACCTTCAAGGGCCCTTTAAATTCTTCCTTTGAGTAGCAGACTGCTTTTCCTTCTGTGCTCACTGCTTCAGCCTCTCCCAAGTCAGCTACCATATGGGTAACCTCACTTACGGGCTGCTCTAAATCAGGGGCAAGAATGGCTACTGCGGGCCTACAGCAGGACACAGGAGACATGTGAAGCACCACATTTCTCATCCCCATAGTAAAAGGCTCCCCACTTGGCCATAATTATCTGGATTATACAGGGTATTTTTCATGCCTAACTCTGGTAACACCTGTTGGAGCTCAGCATACATCTGCCATCTAGTGGGGAGGATGGTAAATTACCCTGATTGGGCCATACAGCGCAAAGCATGGCCATAACCCAATTGAGGAGACAGTGATTTTCTGGGGTCTGATATGCATTTTGTAATCACTGCCTTAAGGCAGGATGAACAGCCAGGGAAGCCAGCTTTCCCATCTCTGATCCAGACAGAACAATCCCATCCCCCCACATCCCAAAGAGGCAGGAGCCAAGCTAATACTTGATTCTGAAGGCTTTTTTGCTGAAACTGGGAGCCCCACCAGCTCAGCCTGAGTACAGGAGCAGAGAGCATGGAGTACTCCACGCCCTGGAGAGGGGATTGCGCCCCTCCCAGAGGAACCTGCGATTGCTGTGACTTTATTTTCCTGACTACAACTGGGCGAGCTTTCAATAGAAGAGTCCTTCCCTGGCTCCTCTTCTATTTCCAGGTCCGATGACACCTTTCTCACCATCCCCCAGAGCGCCTACTCTGTTACACCCTTTACCTTTTCTACAGTGCCTCGCAGCAGTGCTAGCTCAGTCTTCAGCAGCTCTTACCTTCACCTCAATACCTTGCAGCTGGCATTCTCATGCTGCCTCTTCCTGTGCATTTCGTACAAGTACGTCCTTCTCCATGGCCTTTGCCTCCTTCAGAGCACCTTGCAGCACTGCCATCTCAATCTGCAAATAATATTTTACCTCCTCCACTGCACCTCACAGTGTTTCTCACTGCTGCTTTTTCTGCTTTCTACAGTACTTCTTCATGGCCTTTCTCTCTTCCACAGTGCCTCACAGCAACACCATTTCATTTTTTAACATATCTTTTACCTCCTCCAAAGCACATTGCAGCTCGAATTCTCATGCTTCCTCTTCTTGTGTCAACGCCATTTCATTCTTCAACAAATTCACAGCATTGGCAGCTTGTGTTCTCATGATGCTATTTCTCATGACTCTTGCAGGAGCATGTTCTTCTTATCTATAGACTCTTTTAATACTCTGAGAAACAGTCAATCCATGGTTCCCGCCGCCTCACAGACACTGTTTCTCAAGTAGACACTTGTTATGCTGAGGGCCACCTCTACTGCCTCAGGTGTCACCTCCATCTGCCCCCAGTCCTGGGGCAGGGCCCAGTCCTCTAAGAGGAAAGACACCTCAGACCACATGCCCATTGGGTGACACTTAAATGTCTCTCCATCCATAGGGGTGACCTGCTGGTGCACCCCTCCCATGAAGGCAGCCTGTTCCATTCTTTGGTCTACAGTGAATCCTGCCGGATATGCCAGATGTCTTGCCTGAGGGTTTCAGCCCAGAGCAAGGTTACTATAGATTCAGTGAGACTGAGAAATGACAATGGAACATTCTTGGGGTAAAAGGGTTTATACCCAGCTTTATATTCCCAACAGCAGGTTAATCACTAGAATCATATATGCATCCAACAGTCTGCAGGTCCATAATCCACTTCCATCTCTGCCTCCACCAAGAGCACTGGGAGAAGCTCTTTATATAGTGACTCAGTCAATAACAGCTTTTTGCCTACAGGGTGCGGATATCAGTAGGCCAATTACATCAAGTACTTTAGGGTCAGGTGAGGATCCTGGCCATAGGAACTTCCATTTTCCCCACACCTATGTTGCAGATAATTTTGCTGTGTCCCATGGCCTTGAAAAAATTTCATGTAAACTGCACATCAGATGAAATTCACCAGTTAAACCATTTGAAAGGTGGACAGTTGAGAGCTTTTGGTGCATGAATGCTTCAAACTGTCAATTGTGTCAGAGCACTGCCACCCCAAGAGGAAGCCCCATACCCAGAAGCAGTTACTTCCCTCTTACCTCTGCACAGCCCCAGGCACCACCAAGCTGCTGTCTCCATGCATTTGCCCATTTCCATGGCATTTTGATGCTTAATGAACTGGGTAGAACCATTTCTATGAAATGATTGATCTACTAGTGAAGCAGGGACACTCTGTTAGCCTGGCCAGATGCACCTGCTCCTCTCTGAGTGGCAGGTCTGGGTCCATATGACCCTGTGATGGGACCAGGTGCTGAGATGGGGCATCATGAGGAACAAAGCTAAATCCCATGCAGAGGTTGGGGGACACCACAGCTTTTCCACTTTCTTCTTTCTCAGCCCTTCAAGGAAAGCAAGAGTCTCCCCAACTCTGGATAATTCATGATTCACTCACTACTCACTCATTCACTTATTTATTCATCAACAAACATTCACAGAGGGACTCACCTGTGCCAGGCACAGTGCTAGGAACAGGAAGATGTAGACTCACCCCTTATCTGTGGTCTTGGGGAGACATGTGACTATAACATCCAACATAACATGCCAGTTTTTGATGGGAAGGTGTTGACAAGGGTCCTCTGTGCACCCAGAGAACCCACCTCAAGGTCTGCATAGTGAGGCATCCATCCTGCCACACTGCCTCCATCCCAGCCTTACACCTTAGCCTCCTTTTTGACCAGCCTGGCTTGGCCCTGGCTTCCCTACAACCACCTGTTGGGGTTGTGGCATGAAGCCTCTTCTTCCAATCCAGGACAAGCCCCTAGGCTTTAACCTGGTAACTCCCATGCAGCCATAAGTCCATATTGTTGTGGTATCTCCTCTAGCTCCCTCCCCAGCAGGCTCATGCGGGGGTCTCCACCCTGACCCACCAGCCTGTAGGTAGCTGTGTGAGGCTCTCACCCTCTGGACCAGGAGCCAACTTGATTGGAATGCAGTGTTCCCAGCACCTGGGACAGGCAGAAAGCTCAAGGAAGAGGTGTTGTATAAATGACAGGACTGAGGTGAGCCCTGCAGGAGTACTTCAGAGGGAAGAGGCTGCCTTTAGTCTCAGTGTGACCCGGGAGGCCACCACTTCCAGTTCTGAATCCTGGACGCACTGATGTATGGATGATGTCTTCCAGCTGAGTGCTATTACTTCCCTCATTAAAGACCCTGCAAGCTCAGAAAACAAACTCCCAGCTCTCCTGAAGGCTCCAGTGTTCCTATCCAGGTTTTGTTTATAAACTGTGACTCTTCTTTCTCAACAAGGCAACACCACCCCCTCCGGAAATTTCGGAAATTGACAGTTGTGCATTTTGTGTGTGGCAGTATGCCACTGAGGGTAGGTGCCAGGTGTCCCAGCTCAGTGGTAACGTTCACCTGGGTCAGCTTGACGTCTAAGTGTCCGCTGAGGACATGTGTACAGGAGGAAAACCTGTTTATGATCATCTGAGCTTAGGGCTGGACATTTTGCATTTGAACCAGAGTTTTGAGGAGCATGACTTCA